ACACGTCATATTTATGTAGAGAGTTAATTTTTCACTAATTTTTCACAGTGAACTGATAATTATCTTATCTTGCTTACAATGCTGTGCATTTTTAGCACTTTGCACACTTGAGTATATTGCATAAATAATTGTTTTATCATCAATTGCAGCACTTGATGTGAGTGTCACAGTAGGGGACTAACATGCTGCAGAGGTTAAGGTGAAGTGTGTACTGTCCTGCTGTGTTGGTGTTGATTACAGAAGATTAGAAAGTCTGGAGAACGCTGCCCACCAAGAAATCAAGGCTACGATTGTTCTGCTTCAGAATCTGTTCTCGGTTCAAACATGTATGGCTGAATAGATCCAGTGTTACAGCTTGTCATTGTTTAGAGCAGAGTAGCTTTACAGCGTTTGAGCAGAGTTATAGGTGAGCTGGTGTGCTTGAGCTGCTGTAAGCAGGGAGATAGACATCACAGATCTGCATATTCCAGCGGTGCAGAGTTACATCTAAGTCATTTTAAGGCAGGAGGGGATTATTATCATGGGAAAAAATGTATAGATGTAACTCTGCTACAGAGAGATACGTTTCTAATGGAGAAATCAATGACCTGAGAAGTACTTACAGTAAACAGCTAACTTTATCATTATTATTATTTTTCTTTTTAGCTCACACAATAATATTCTCATCAACTGTAAACAACACTGGACACTACTTTTAGCATTAAACATTGACATAGGATGCAGATTATGAGGCTAGGACATTAACCAGTGGAAATCATGACTCAAACTACAATATTTATATTTCTTAAAATTCTAAAACATCATTGCTTTATTGCAGTTTACCTCCATCTGAGATTGCTGAGCAGTAAGACAGTGTAGAATCCTGACAGCTGCTTGCATACGTAACTAAAAGGTTATGATCATTTAAGAGCAGGTGAAGTCTTGCAGTTCTTAAAAAAGCATTTAGCTTCATAGCAACATACATCTAAATATGGCAGCAGCCCCCGGCGTCAGCAATCCTATCATATAACAGCAACGTAACTGAATTGTCCATTACTATCAAGAGAACTAACAGCACTGATTGCAAGCTGGTATTTTCTTCTCAGTAAAGATCAGTGGGATCACAACTGCACTTACTTTTCTAAGTTTTTTTTTTTTTTCTTCTGGTTCTTGAAGACTCATAAAACTCCACTGTCCTTGGGTTTGTGAGTATTATGAAATCGTGACACGCTTGTGGCTGACATTTGAGCAGGCGGACTCCACATCATTGATTTCAGGAGATAGCCCTGCTGATATGTCAAGGCCTGCCGGGGTACGGGTGGCTGGAAATGCAGCGGAGCCCTTGTTGAACGAGTTACCTTGGGCTGAAAATCTGAGCAAACATTGTTAAGTGCTGATGGTGGGCATGCTGGCAAGTAGATTTGCCCTGGGAAGGAGGTCTCCTCACTGCACCCACATCTCCGCAGCCTTTCGCTCACAGTTGTCTTTCCCCTGAGTGGTGCTGCAGCAGAAAGTCAGGAATTTCTGCCTGTTAGAGCCAACATCTCTCCTGCTGGATAAAACGCAGGTGCGACAGCCAACTGTAAAAACACAGTCCTATTCCAATTAAGGAGCATAACCACTGCTGTTAACTAGTGAGCTGCCAACCTCACTCATGATGTTTGTAATGCAGCTTTAAAAGCCTCGTTTTTATAAATTAATTCTTTCCACTGACAGTCAGCTTTAAACCTTTCTGATTTATCTGCTCTCCCTGCATTGCCAGAAAATTGCACGTCAAAGTAACTGACTGCTGGTGGCAACGATTTGAAACAAGACGATTGTTTGCTTGTGCAACGCTGAGTTTCCGTTGACTGAAACACAGCACACATCGTAAACTATGCTGCAAAATATTGAGTCAGGAGAACTGTAAGTAATGCTTGGGCATCAAGGTTTCTTGTCACACTTTGCTTCGAAATAACCACAAAGGAACACTCAGGCCGTGGATGGATCAGGTTGGTCTTATGCAGCTCTTTGAGCAGGGTCACAAAGAGATGAATTGCTTGAATGACCTCAAAAAAGCAAAGGAAATATATTCGGAACAACTAAAGGTTTACTGCAGCTACAGATTTTCTCAGGCTTTAAACCATGTATAGAGTTTCGGCACGACAGGAATACATCTGCATCGTCCTCATTATTGGCCCTCATCAGGCAGAAGACATCCGGTACAAACCAAACACAGGATGCAGGAGATGAGAGAATGCGTCCTCTTGGGGAAACGCTCCACAACCATTAATACGTCAGCCTTGCATTACATGTCTGATGGATTTATCAACCCACCGATTAGTTATTGACCAGAAGAATGCTCAAGGTCACCTTGTAGGAGTCTGCAGGAACTCTGCTTGACATGGCACAGTCAGAGGTTAATGTCAGAGGTCCGTCCTGTTCCTCTCTGGTGCAGGGAGTACAGATTTCAAAAGCTTTCATGAGGTCAGAACCTCAGGGGGGTTATCGTGAACTGCTGATCAACACCAGTGTATGGAGGCTCAGGGCTGTTAATATTCAAATGAAACCATTAAGTCAGAGCGCATGACAAAACGATGAACATAACATTTTTTTTGAAAATGACTCAGCCTTTGCTATTTTTCAACAAAATAATCATTATCCTGTTCTAATATTTGGCATTTTAATACGTTATCTCTTCATTAAACATTTCTGACAGATGTTTGCTCTAATTAGCCAGTTTAGTCCTCGTTTTTATGAAAATACAAGCTCATAATTTATGTCGGCTGCAGGCAGTTGTAAGCTGTTGTATGTTGTTTCCTCGCAGCTTTTAGTAAAGTGAGGATTGCATCTTGCTGTTGCTCCTATTACACTTTTGTTCACTGTGGGCTCATTTTTCACCGTCCTGCTCCTCAATGGAAATACCACAACCATGACTACAAGTAGGGAGAACTGTAAAGTGTCTGTGTTGCAGAATTACACAGTTAAAAAGCCGTGAATCATAAAAATGAAAAAAGTAAAATGTTTTTGCTCTTCATTTTACAAAATTGAAAAAAACTGGAATCAATGGATAGAACATATTTTTCAAGTGTCCACAAGTGTTACCAAGACTGTCAAAAATGGAGTCTCCACATTCCATAGATAGTCCACTATTTATGTTTTTATTTTGCTTCATGCTCGTTTTCCCTCAAAATAAACACAGCCTGCAGTTCAGCTAAAATGTCCCAGAATTTTTGTCACTTGACTGTTGTTTGAAGCTGAATCAGTCTAGAATTTGTTGTCTTTTTGCAGAGTCTAATGCCAACAGATTTATTTTTATGTGAATTGTTAAAAGAGACGTAGAATACAATCATTTTTAAGCTTTGATTTTGATAATGTTGCAGATGGAACAGATGAGTAGTTCAAGGGCCATCGAAAGTTGACAATTCAACAATTCTTTATGTTTTTACAGTTTCTGGCTCTAATAAATGGTGTGATTTTGGCAATTATTTAATAAGATAAGCCTTTCAAGCCTGTCAGCAAGAGTTCCTCACCATCCTTTGTTGTTGTTGTTGTTGTTCACCTTACAAAGTGCTTTATAAAAAATTGGTAAGTTAAATAAAATAATACTCACTTGATACTCACAAGATCTATGATAATATCATGTTCACAATTGTTTATATTAATATATACAGTTATATAAAATAGAAAAGGAACAGCGCATATTGCACATTGTAATTACTTGAAATTATGAGCATTTACATTTTGCTGAGCATTAACCTCATTGGCCACAGGGGGCAATTACTGACCAGTAAGTGTGAGTGTAACAGAGGTAACATTACTCAGCTGAAGCTACTGGCCATAACAGACCACGAACAACACACTAAGTTATTGCTTATTAGTTTTGTTTGTCTCACAACTCTTTCTAAAGGTGCATAGTGTTGCTTTAATACGTAATAAACAGTCCAATTTGTGCTCTAATGAGACGAACTCTGAAAGAATTAAGAGAGGGACGCAGGAAAGCAGCAGTGTGCACCACAGAGGATAGAATACAGCAGTCTGCAGTATGTGGCCTCACTCTGCTGGGTGAGTGTAGTTTAGCATTTTAGTCCAGAGATGTGCTGTTTGCATATTTATCTCACAGGGGATTTCATGTAAAGCTGTTATCAGTGCACTTATGTAGAAAAATCTGCAATTCATGCCCATCAGTGTATCTACAGTGCAGCAGAAACTCCCACCTCTTATCATGAATGCACTCTGCTCCAGAGAGGTTCATCTGGTCAGTAGGTTTAAGGTCAGAGCTGGTGTGCATATTGTTCAGACGCAGAGCCGGGGAATGCATCTCTGTAGCTGTGTGTTGCTGTGTGTTGCTGTGTGGGAGGCAGCAGTGATGAGAAACTGATGGTAAATCGATAGTGATGGATCAAAGTGCCGCATGGCTGGAGCTCTGCCGTGTCAGAGTGCGGGGAACAACAGTGACTTTTACACCTCCTCCCTTCTTCTTCATTATCCTCTTCTCCCCTCCTGCTACCCCAAATCTCTCTTTTCATCTTGAAATTCCAGCTCTATTCTGTCTTCACCCTATGCTTACTGGTATTTTACATGTGTGCAAGTGTGAATGTGTGTGTTCATAAGAAATGGAGAAGTGACTTGATGCTTCGTGTCGTGGTGTCAGGTGGCATCAGCCAGTAGTTGATGGGAAGATAAAATGTAACACAATCGATATGGCAGCACTAAAACCGTTCTCATTTCCAGCAGCCTCCTGCACTACGTGTGTCCACATATCTGTTGCTGTCACATGTGGGCATCGTTTGATGTGCTTCACGAAATAAGCTATTGTGCTGCGTTATTGTCTAACGCTGGGGTGCAAAAAAATAATACTGGTTTTTCACGAAAATTGACAATTTTACTTATAAACAAGACTGATGCTGTGAATTGAACCATATCCCTGCTTTATAATGCAAAAACAGTAACTGCTGCTTGTTCAGTGTGATTGCATTTTCTGTTATATTACCATACAAGTAGCACCATCTAATAAATAACCACTTGGTTCTGTTTTCTAGGAGAAAAACATTGGCCGGTCCGCTCCCAGAGTCACCATGGTAGGGATGGCTGTTTTTTGTTCAAGGGTCAAAGTTGCCTCTAACCACTTCATCATGATTTCTGTATTTGTCTTATGAGCCTGTTAGTGGTTAATAACAGTAATAAGAAGTGAGTTCCTGATCAGTGTTTGGAGGCAGCTTATACCTGAAGTGTTAATTGTAATCGTGCAGTGCCTTCCTGTTGACCTCTAGCTTCTATATACCTAACCTGTGTATTCTCCCCTTGACATTTAGCTCTCCTCTGTGTGTGTGTGTGTGGGTGTGTGTGTGTGTGTGTGTGTGTGTGATGAGCACATGTGTGCAGTCTGGTGTGTGGCTGCTGGTTGTAGGGGTGTAACGGTACATGAAGATCACTGGTTTGGTAAAAAGAAAAAAGAAAAAAAGAAGAAGCTTTTGGATATATTTATGGCAAATTGTATAATTAACCTCGAGGAAGAGTTCAACATACTGGAACATATATGTCACTGTCTTGCAGGCAGGACTGATACCTCTCTTATTCCTGGTTGTTAGGTAGTAACCTAGCTTAGCATAAAGACTGGGAGCATGAGGAAACAGCTAGCCTGACTGCACAACCAACAAGCTAATTAGCCCATTTCCATCCCTCATTTAACTGGAGGGTAAAAATGACAGATTGCGGTTTTATTGAGAGTAAAATCCTCTGAGTCATAGCAGGGCAGCTTCCAGTCCGTCTTTTCAGGAATCAGAATCAGAAAGCTTTATTGTCATTGCACCAAGTCGTACAACAAAATGTGCTGGTACTGGTTTTGCACCTGCTTTGTATGTTATCAGACCATTCAGTACCCATGCATACGGGTCAGTAGGCAGCTCCTCCACCTTCTAGCTCAGTAGTCTGTTAGAATCTCATTTCATAATGGTTGAGCTATGATTTAGCATTTCTAAAGAGGAATAAAAGTCTGTGTTTGGAAGTTGGGGATGGAGGACTCATAAGTCAATTTACTTTAACTCATGAGACTTGGGTCCCACAATTAAAGATCTATTTTTTTGACAAAAGTCTCATTTTGACTTTCATTTGCTGTTTATTGTTTGGTTAAGTTTAGATGCCAAAAAGGTTCTTGCTTTGAGGCTAAAATACACCCTGTAGCTACATTAACCACATGATACAAAGCTTCATTTCATTCAGTTATTCACACGACTGCAAGAGGTTGACACATTTGGATTTGTTCCTGGTTGCAAATTAAATACATGGGTGATAACCAACTACTGGACCTATTAGAATGTGGAGGTGGTGCCTATAGGCCCATATGTCTGTGCAGTGATGACAGTCATTTGATGGACCAATAACGTTTAAGGAAATTTTTATGCCATTAAGTATCTCTCTGTAGCCCTAAAGACTAATCAGAAGGTCCAGTGCTGTCAAAAATAGTTTAGGTTAGCACATTTTATTACATCTATTTCAAGAGACATTGTGTCACTCAAGCTTTAGTTCCATGGGAGAGCCCGTCGATATTTGATCAATCCGTCAATCTTTGTCGAGTGTCGATGAAACTAAACAATAATGCTCACAAACAGTAGCTGTTTCAGTACAACTGTTGTTGTCCTTTCACTGAAACGTACTCTAAATTAGACAGCATTAAGCTAACTGACAGTAAATTAAAGCCAATGTCCTGTAACCAGCCAAACACACGTACCGTGACACCCCTCTGTGGTTGTGTTCAGATCACTGCTGTGGTAATGTGGGCTCACCTACAAGGAAACATTGTAAAGAGGAGATCTCAATTGCACGTCTTCTTCCTTCTTCCTTCCTCTTCTTTTTTCACTTCATTCTGTGGAGTTTGGGTCTAATTAATGAAAACAGAAACCCTAACCAAACTAGGACATACTGTATGTAAACAAGAAGATTGTGTACCTCCTGATGTTTGTTGCAGCTGGCCCACATTGTATTATTTTTTTTATCGTGTTGTGCCTTAAAATCCAACTAGTCTCATTTCCCTCCTCTGTTCTAATTCCTGCCCTTTGAAATGTATGTTTTGAACTGTTTCACTTTTCTATGTGTCGTCCTCTTTACTGAATCGAGTGTTCTAACCGCTCTGGTGTGTTTGTGCTCTTCGACTCTGTCCGTCTCAGTGGAGAGGAGGGCTGGTCTATAAAGGCATGGATAAAGGCAGTTTTGATGATGTTACTTCTTTTATTTTAAGAAGACATCAGATAAATCTGTGCTTATCCTTGCTTACGATATACGGACCCTCCTCTTCCTCCTCTACCTCTTCCTCGCCCTCCGCCTCCTCTCAAAGGAAGTCTACTTTTCAACAGCCTGCGAATGGAGTCGGTTGGTATGTCGATCAACTGTTGAGAAGAAGATAAATGGCTATTTTATATTGGAGTATTCATCCTGCAATGTGACATGCCATGAAAATGCCATGCTGTTACACTGTTTGATTTTCAGCAAAGACTACCGCTAGCTATTTTGGCTTCATAGTGAGGAAGCAGAGTGAAAACCAGATGGGTTCTGTAGGAACATCACGAAGCACTCCTTCAATAAAATGGATCTCTTATTGCCTTTTAACACACGGGGTCACAGTAGTCCACAGTGGGTTCACTGTCCATCACATTTTAAAATGAACTGGATATGAAGTCCATCTCAACCTCTTGCCCTTCCCCGTCCCTGCTGAGACTATCATGGCACATTTGTCAAGCAGAAGAGGCACTGACATGTCAAGTAACTACTTGGCCTTTGGTGTCTTGGGGGCGATTGTGAGTTATGAGATAAAGAGCGATACTTACTGGCAGCGTGGATAGAAACAGCCTGGACTGGGATTTTATTGCACTTGGAACAAAACAGGAATCTGCAGCTCCAGTGACTCCCGTTAATGGAGTTATCTATGAATGCATAATGATATCGGAGTATTTCAGTGCCGCTATTAATTTCGACCAATTCAAAACACGTGTTAATTAGTTTTCCCTCGTTAGCAGACATGAGATGTAGATCAAGCAACAAGCACGAGTGTATAGCAGTAGACTGTATTTGTGCAACTGCAGGTGTAGACGGTCGTGGCAGTGATACAAAAACACTTACGCAGACTCTGAACCACATTTGTGAAATGACATGCCCTCATAAACCAGCAGAAATAGCTGATCATGCTGCCGTATACTGAGGAGCTCTAGTTTTTTTTTTAATGTGCCAGCACATGTTGATAGTGTTTCTTATTGCATCCAACAGAATTATAGCAAGTATGATTTATACATTTCATTTTTTATGCCGCAGTAATCAATATTATTACATGAACAATGGGTCAAGTGACTGTGTATATGACAAAAGGTATTATCAGCAATTCTGCATTTGTATGGAGCACTAAAGGTACAGCAGCACATCCTAACACACAGCTGTAGCCACTGGCTGCTTGACATCGTAGAACAGAACTATAAAAGCCAGATAACAAAACAAAACAAAGAGAAAATACTGGATTTCTGTATGATTAGGTCATTAACTTAATGTTTCTTTTAAAGTGCATTTCCATTCACTTGTCTTTATTCACATTTTCAATTTGCAAGGTAAAGACAGTAAAATGGAATCTTTAAAGCTTGGCTCAGGTTTTATTGAGTATCAATGACAGCAATGGAACTAGACTTCGCAAATAAATCACGACTTTTATGTCACAACACCAGACTGGAGAAGTAGCACAAACAACTGGATGGACATGTGGCTTCATTTATCTTGTTAGTTTTTTTTTTTTTCAAATCTTATGGAACTTTTGGATGATTCATACGTGCTACACACATTTACCATATGAACTTTGAAAGGCCAAATATGTCAAATGTGTGGTGTGGAGTTCTAGAGTTTATCCCTAAGGCTGAAGAAAACCAAACAAAAAAAGTGAGTGAATGCAACATTAAATATTCAGTGGTAACTAGATTTGACTGTGAGGGCTGATGGATTTGGTGGTGGAGACCTTACATGTCAAACCACCAGCAGCTGAGACGGCTGATAGAAGGACAGCCCACATCGCTCATTATTTTCAGTCTTGTTACTGTTGGTGTTGCACATATATATCGCTGTGGCTCTTTCTGCGACCTGTGATGAAGCTACAGAAATGTAGCTGTAGGGTTTGAACACCTTTGGTATCCATGAAGATTTTTCTTCAAACAAAAGCGACGCCCTTAGATTAGTTCAAATGAAGCAAGCAGTCAAAGTAATGTTTTGTATTACACAGATTTTATTCTCGTCATTTATCGTTCCAATTCTGTTTTGTTTTGTTTGCACGGTTAAGACGGCATCGCTAAAGCAGGCCGTACAAAGTGCTGTTTTATATCTGCTGATTAAGTTGGAGTGTTCTTACGCTTTTGAATCTTCCGGACTTTTACTTACAGATATAGGTTAAGCCTTTTGTTAGTTAAAATCATGCTTTTAGCTTAAGTCAAAACTCTGACTCACAGTTAAGAATGAGCAGTGCAGGCTAAAATTAGCAGAGCTAGAAGTGCTATAAATATAACTTATAAGCATTATCACCAGTGCTGCAATTGGGTCAGAGTTAAGCCTCCTGCTCTGCCAGTGGAATCAATGAGGAGGTGGGAGCTACTTCTATCCAGGGGCCTAAAGCTTTGTCCCCCACTAACCGAGTGAAGTGGGGCTATTATGGCAGTTAACATTTAGCGATTAAATGTGAACACTCTTTGTCAGCTGTTAAATGTCAAGCCCACAGTGGCTTCCCTTTCCTCCGCTTGCTTTGCTGCGAGAGCAGGGCAGGGACGTGTTGGTAGCCCAGCGCTGTCAGCGGACTCAGTGGGACACAGAGATCCGCATTCATACCTGTCACACACACTCTGCACACATACATGTGAATACACACATGCGGCGTGCACTTTGTGCCCCCACCGCCGCCACCTCCACCTCCTCTGGGCCTTTCATAACTCCAGTAACTCCACTTGGCAGGGCTAATGGGATGGCAGGGCTGTTGGTTTTAGAGAGGGATGTCATGAGGAGAGTGGGGCAGAGAGCTGAGGATGGCTCTCTAATAGATGTGGGGTGGGAGGTGGGGAGTGGG